CAGACAGGTGACAGGTGATAGACAGGTGACAGGTGACAGCTGGGCAGACAGGTGACAGGTGATAGACAGGTGACAGGTGATAGACAGGCAGACAGGTGACAGCCGGGCAAACAGGTAGGCAGACAGATGGAGTGACAGACAGGAGGGCATTCAGACCTTGCCAATAAGCTCCCTCTCTCGGCTCATGAAGGAAACACTGTTCTTGACAAAGAGCTCCAGCTTCCTCTTCTGAGACTCCGCTAGGGAGAGTTCAAAATCGAACCTGCAGAGAGAGAGAGAGAGAGAGAGAGAGAGAGAGAGAGAGGGAGAGGGTCAGAACCACACCCTGAGAGCTGCACATCACGCACACGAGGACAGAACTCCGCCTCCCGCCCTGACCTCTCGTTGTACTCTGGGTTGAGGTCTCTCTTCTTCACACTGGTCTTCCTCTTGGTGGATTTGTTCTTGTCCGGCAGAAGGCTGAAGGAGATGTAGGGGTCTGAGCCGTCCTTCGCACAGGCTGCCAGCTGCCTGGACAGACACAGGGGAACAGCATGAATATAGACCCAGGGGCACAGACACAGCCTGGACAGTGTGGACATGGACAGTTCAGCACAGAGACACACACACAGACGCTCGCAGATGGACCCAGCATCAGTGCAAGGAGACAGACCTGCAGGCGTGAATGATGATGACCAGCCGGTTCTCCTCCCTGGAGTAGGACAGAGACAGCTTCACCTGGCCAGGTGCACCGTGACCCTGCTCACCATCCCTACAACACAAACACATATGGGAGTGAGACACTGCCTGCCTCCGCCTGTCCACAATCCAGATCCCCGGATACCTCCCACCAAGGAGGTCAGAGTTCTCTCCTAGAACAGACCCACTGTTCAAGGTAAAGGTCATGTCCTGAGCTATGTCCCTATCCCAAAAAAACTACATCAATCAAACAAATGCATGACACACATGTCTCCGTATGTCTCACCCTTGCGTAGGCACTGATCGGTGTCGGAGATCCTGATTGGCGGTTGGTTTCTCTGGGCTGGGGACGGGCTGTTCCTGCACCTCTCCCTCCAGTCCAGCAGGGGCTTTGTCCAGTGCGCTCCGATCCCCTAGTCCACACTCCGTCACTCTGGAATCCAGGATCTGCATGGAGACAGAAAGCATACATACTCAACACAGAGCAATGACGCAGAGTTACATCGTTCATCATCAGCGCTGAGCAACGAGACCGAGTTACATCATGCATCATCAGCACTGAGCAACGACGTAGAGTTACATCACTCATCATCAGCACTGAGCAACGAGACTGAGTTACATCACTCATCATCAGCACTGAGCAACGACGTAGAGTTACATCACCCATCATCAGCATTGAGCAATGACACAGAGTTACTGTACATCTCTCATCATCAGCACCGAGCTATGAAGCAGTGTTGCACACCTGCATGCAGTGATATTCTCCAGGGATGATGATGCACTTGTGAATCTTCTCACTGCATGCAGGGCTGATTCTGTGCCTCTTACCTTCATTGTAGCTCTCAGCAGTAACTGGCTCTCAGGTTTTGCTCCATCCAGGTTAAACCATCGGTCCAACACCAGGTCTGGTTCAAACAGAATCTCCCGCAGAGGCAGGACCAGAGAGCCCAGCGGCATCCCCCAGCTGTGGGAGAGCTAGGGAGAGAGAGTACAGATTAACACACGGAGCAAACCTGACACATGAGCACACTCATGCACGCTCATGCATGCTGCACGCTGCACGGTGCTCTCTCACCTTCACAATCAGCATGTCCTCCTGGGGGTCATGAACCAGGAAGGAGAAGGCCTCTTCCCACAGCGGACTGGTGGAGCGCTCACACACCTGGGGAGAGACAGCCACTGGAAAACACCTGAAGACCTCAACCAATTCAACCCCCCACAGATTCGCCCCGATCTATACACAGGCCCTCTGGAAATTCAGCAAAAAAACAGGTCTTTCCAACACCAGGAGACCACTAACTAATGAACTTTCTGAATATGGTTATGGTTACCTATGTAATTTGTATGTTTATGGTTTTATGATATAATTATGATTACTGAGACTGTTCATCAACATGTCAAGTCTCATTTAATGAATCCAAAGTGCAATGTGATGACTGACCTTGGTCCTGTGGGAGTTTGACTGCAGAATCAGCTCTGCTCCTGCCTTTGGCTCCTTCCCACTCTTCTTCAGCTGCACAGAGAGAGTCACACACACCAGTACTGCAGCTGTACAGTCCAACGCACTGTCACTGCACAAACACAACCCACTACAACAATGTTAACCATCGCACAGAGCAAACAGACCACAGTCCTGCCACAGGAATCAGGCTCACAGCTGCCATGCAATGGGGCAAACAGCTGTGTGACTACACCCAGCGGCACAGAGACCCCCTGCGCCCCGCGGACGGACTCACAGGCAGGGCGTGGGCACGATCCACAAACACCGACAGCAGCGCGGCCGCGGGCACCACCTTGTTCTGATAGGAGCTCTTGGACTGCAGCCGCAGGACCTGGCGCAGAGAGAGGCGGGTGGAATCAGGGAGAGAAGAGAGATGGCGAGGGGGGGTGGAGGGGCTGCAGCTGTCTGTCTGTAAGCCTCACCTGATCCAGCCTGGCGGGGTCTGTCACTCTGGGCAGCCATTCCAGGGTCATGTGCAGCCGCCCTGACTTCACCTCTGACAGCGTGAACCACTGGAACACAGCAAACACACGGGTCAGCACAGAACACACACACGGGTCAGCACAGAACACACACACAGGTCAGCAGCACGCACACACA